CTTTTTTTTTTTTTTTTTTTCCTTTTCAAATCCTCTCCAGTTTTACCTGCTGAGATGGGAAAATGCATAGAAAAAATCCAAATACCGTGTAATTAATACACCTTGCTGAATGTCACTGGTGAGTCACATGGGTTTTTTGTGACACGCAGCTCGCTTTGTGCTGAAAATTAAGCGTTGCAAAGAATAACTGGAGTTGGTTTCCCAGGCTTTAAACAACATTAAAAAAAAAAACAACCGACCACACTTGAAACTTTTGCTCTACTTTTTTCTGTTTTCCTGCTGTGTGACAAAGGCTTAAAAGTATAGTTTGCTGGATCATCACATCTATTCATTAGTATGTTCTTCAGTATTATAGCTTCATATTGCTTCAGTTCAAAACGATTTCCATCCCTTTGGTTCTCACAGTGACTCAACTAAATTTTTAAGTAAGTTCTGTAGATTTTTATTTTTTTTTTTTTTGCTTGGATAAAATTTCTAAGTAGGGCTTTTCACCCTGCATGGTCAGATATTGGCCTGATTTTCAAAAGCAAAGAGCATTCATGAATCACTCTGCAATTCCAGTGAAAAGCAAATCTTGAATTTTTAAAAATCAATTAGTAAACTCTGTTTTGTGGCACGGATTGCAGCAAACTCCTGTAGACATAGCTCATGGAGTTAATGAAACAAGATAACAATCTGCTTTTGATTGATAGGGTCTGTTTTCTACGCAAACCAATAAGAGTCTTAAATTGTAGGGTTTCCTGTCTAAGAAGTATGTGTGATTATAAAGAAAAAAACCGTAAAGGTTAACTTTTTTTCCAGTTATTTAAGTATGCATCTGAAAGAACACGTATTTCCTTGTGGAAAACTTCGAAACTAGTAGCATGAATGAAGGCATGCAAGGTTGCACAAAAGATCCCTGGTTATGAAGATTGTATGTCAGAGCTGAGGTTAAAAAAGGATGTTATTTGAAGGGAAGGGGAGAAAACTTAGCTACTGAACTCTCTGGTACTTATCTTTGCTTATGTAGCTGGACTTACTTTTCCTGCAGACTGGCTGACTTTCTGATGAATCATCTAGTTAAATGCAGGACTTGTGTTCTTGAGCTAATGTATTGCTATAGGAATTCTTTAGCCTTGATAAGAATAAGGGATTTATTATTCTGGCTGCTTGAGACTAATCATGTCCTTAAGTGTTTGTTTTCTTGCCTTTAAGTGGTTAGGCTTTGTAAACTTTGCAGAGGACATATTCTTGCCACTTAGAAACTTAACCTTTAGGTGAAAAGCAGGTGGTTTTATTTATATTTCATTTGTTTATAAATTTTATTTATAATATTCAGTAATGTTTGTGGTGATATTTGTTATACACTTGATGTGAATAGTTTTGTAGCCAGCTGAAGCATTCACTGACATTTAATGAAATGGCAAAGTCATAATAAATCAGAGTACTCAAATTTTTTTTTCTTCTGATTGGGTAACTTTAATCACGCAGTTGTCAAAGTAATAAAATCTCCTTGAAACTGTTTTATTTGGCTATTCTTAGATTTTTCACGCAGGCTCAGCAGAGATGTGCTGACAGTAGCATCGGGAAGCTTATAGTATTAAGTTGTTTCTGCTGTGTTGATCGAGGTTTCCATTCTCTAGCTTTGTCAGCATAGCTTACTCTGGTACTAATGGTGCCATTAGTAGCTTCCCCACCCCTGAAAATGCAGATCGGTGTTTCTGTCTCCTTCTGTTTTTTTCTCATTTATCCTTTGTAGTAGTAAACATGCATTAAAATGTATATTGGATATTATTTGGAGCATCATTGCAGTTAAAATCAACTTTCAAAACAGTAATGAGATCTCTTCTAACTTTGCAATGTCAACTCTCAAATTAGGAATTAGTTATTTTATTCCAACAAACAGCATAGGGTTCCCAGGTGTTTTGTCCACAAAAATAGTGATACTTGTTATACAAAGCCACAGGGCTGAATTCAGTCTCAGTGAAACACTAGCGATACAGGGATTAACTTCAGGAGTGCTTGTACTATAGCTTATTTTACAAGCCACCAGAGAATATGCATCCATGTTTCCGGGCGTCCCCAGAATGGCCTAGGGAGCGTTTCTTCTGCCTTTCGTTGCACAGGAAGCCCTTGAACTTACAGGGTTGTTACATCTTATGCTTTAGATCCTCAAATCATGCTGTGAAGTTCAACATGGCAATATAAGGGTGTGGGCACAAAAATTTCTCAGAGGTAAACTGTAATAAAATGTGCAGTGTGTCAGCTGCTTCCAGTCTCATTTTGCCATATTTATATCCCACTTTATCTCTCTGTACAAGTAAGGATACATCTACCTCCACAAAGGAGAAGCAGGCTACGCTGCATGGTGTGTGGTAGGATGCACGCTTACAAGTGACTGTGCACTCCTGGAATTTTATTTGCTACTCATTTTGTCACATTTTATACTGTGTGATGAACATCTCGTAGTTATTAATTCAGCTAAATTAACAGAAAAACACGTACCTTTAGCTTCAATATATCTCCCACTGATACCTCTGCAAGCTTCATGGTAGTGGCTGACTGCCTGTTTATTTGGCCAGCCCCTCATTTGTCTTGTGTAGCACAGCAAGGCCCAAGTGCATCACCATCTTGCTTTAGATACCTCAGGTCCTCAAGCATCAGGTAAGATGTATCTGGATCTAATCCACTTTAATGATTCAGTCCAATTTACAAGGTGTGGTATTTTGTTCAAAGGTTACATACCTTTGTATTGGGAAGTATATATCCAAATCACCTCTGCCTTTTTGCTACCCAAATAATGTTAGTAGACAGGAAAAGAAGAATTTGGCCATCCCTCTCAGGGGGCAGAAGGCCGAAGCAAAGGCAACTCTGTTGCATTTGCTGGAGTAAGTCAGGTGTCATTTGTAACAAACCAGCCTGTAGTTCTGACTGTGACCCCACGCTGTTCTGGTATGCGGTACAACAGAAGAAGCTACTGGAAAACAACAAGTACATTATGACAGAGCTTTTAATTGGGCAAGAGGAAATAAAGCTAGAGCTACAGCTCCCAGAGAAACCTGTGGGATGTGATGAAGCCTGCTTTCTAATGAATTTGTATTTGTGGATATATTTTTTGTAGCTTCTAATAAGATGTCAGCTCAATTAAAGCTTTTCCTGTCACTAGGGTGGCATTGAAAGGCCAGAGAGCTGTGTGGGTTCCTCTTGTTAATGCAGGAGATGTGCTGCTGTGACCTTGTCCCAGTGGGGAGGATTCTGTCAAAGTTAGTTGAAAGTAGCCAAAGAATTAAAAAGTTATTCAGCTGAAGGGATGGAGAGAGGTGATGAATACACAGACACATGGTGTGATTATAAAACCTCGTTTCCATAGGAAACCAGGCTAATTATAACTAAATTGCATCAACTGTGAATCTATCATATAATTCCTTAGTGGTCTATAACTTTATTCCTCCCTAGGTTATGCAGATTTGATAGCATTCACCTATCCATACCTGGGAACACCAACTGCAGTCATATGACATTTGCTCCCTTATGCAAGAGGCCTGGTTCAGAAAATTGAGGGCTTTCCTTTCTCAGCTTCATCTTTTTCCTAATTCCTCATGTGGGCAGGGAGCAAGCTGCTGGCGTGTGCTACTTAACTTGCCCCAAGATTGAGAATATTAAGGGTGCACAGGCCTTATTATATGTAGGCAGGCTTGGGATTGTGAGCATGCATGGCATGTATACTCGGGCAGCACTGGGTATCTTGGGCAGATGGGCAGGGAGACCACAGGGCAGGGTCCGAGCACATCTTCGGTAGGTCTGGTCACAAGGTAGGGATGAGGACATGCAGCACTCAGCATTTGCTAAAACTGGTGCTGTTTTCCACTTAGAAATCTAGGAGCTTCCTTTGATGCTGTCTTGTAGTAAGCTCTATGCTTAGACTGCATTACTGGGAATCTATTTTTGTTGTGTCGTCCTGACTGATATTAATATAATATTTATTAAGCTTTATGAACAGCACTCATGGGTGCTGAGGGAACTGGCGGAGGTCATTGCTAGGCCACTCTCCATCATCTTTGGTAAGTCGTAGGCAACAGGAGAGGTGCCTAAGAACTGGAGGATAGCAAATGTCACTCCAGTCTACAAGAAGGGCAAGAAGGAGGACCTGGGTAACTATAGACCAGTCAGCCTCACCTCCATCCCTGGAAAGGTTATGGAAAAACTTGTTCTTGGCACTATCTCTAGGCATATCAAGGATGAGGAGGTCATTAAGAGCAGTCAATGTGGTTTTACCAAGGGTAAGTCATGTTTGACCAACATTATAGCCTTCTATGAAGAAGTAACTAGGTGGAAAGATGATGGTAGAGAGGTAGATGTGGTTTATCTTGATTTCAGTAAAGTATTTTACACTGTCTCCCACAACATCCTCATAGATAAGCTGATAAAGTATGGGCTTGATGATCAGGTAGTGAGGTGGATCAAGAGCTGGTTGAAAGGAAGAAGTCAGAGAGTTGAGGTCAATGAGACAGAATCTAGTTGGAGGTGTGTGACTAGTGGAGTCCCTCAGGCGTCGGTACTGGGACTGGTACTTTTCAGTATTTTCATCAACGACCTGGATGAGGGAACAGAGTATGCCGTCAGCAAGTTTTCTGATAACACTAAACTGGGAGGAGTGGGGAGAAACCTGATGAAATTCAACAAGGGCAAGTGCAGAGTCTTGCATCTGGGGAAGAACAACCCCATGTACCAGTACAGGTTGGGGGCTGACCTGCTGGAGAGCAGTGTAGGAGAAAGAGACCTGGGGGTCCTGGTGGACGGGAGGATGATCATGAGCCAGCAATGTGCCCTTGTAGCCAAGTAGGCCAATGGCAACCTGGGGTGTATTAGAAAGGGTGTGGTTAGTTGATCAAAGGAGGTTCTCCTCTCCATCTATTCTGCATTGGTGAGGCTGCATCTAGAATACTGTGTCCAGTTCTGGGCCCCTCAGTTCAAGAAGGACAGGGAACTGCTTGAAAGAGTCCAGCACAGAGCCACAAAGATGATTAAGGGAGTGGAACATCTCCCTTATGAGGAAAGGCTGAGGGAGCTGGGTCTCTTTAGCTTGGAGGAGACTGAGGGGTGACCTCATCAATGTTTACAAATACATCAAGGGTGAGTGTCAGGAGGACAGAGCCAGGCGTTTTTCAATTATGTCTAGTGATAGGACAAGAGGCAATGGGTGCAAACTGGAACACAGGAGGTTCCATGTAAACATCAGAAAAATCTTCTTTACTGTGAGAGTGACAGAGCCCTGGAACAGGCTGCCCAGAGAGGTTGTGGAGTCTCCTTCACTGGAGACATTCAAAACCTGCCTGGACAAGTTCCTGTGTGATGTGCTCTGGGTGGCCCTGCTCTGCCAGGGGCATTGGACTAGATGATCTTTCAAGGTCCATTCCAACCCCTAACATTCTGTGATTCTGTTACAGAGCATTTCTAGTGGTTCATTCTGAGCTGTTACTTAATAACGAGCAGTCAGCCTATGCTTTTTAATGCATAATTGAAGAGATTTCTTGGGAAATGAACAGATGTCTCTTAAAGAAAAATCATTACAGATACTTGGCTATCATTCTTTGTGAAACCAAGCATTTTTAACTTGTGTTTTGCAAATACACTAGTCATAAACCACAAATTCTTCAACCTCAGTCACCAAATCTTATACCCTGAGAGCATTGCCTTGCAAACCGATCCTCTTTCTGGCAGAGATTTGCTAAATAACTCAAGGGTATGCTTAGTTTCGGTATATGCATAGTACCATAAAGTACTCTTAACAGACTATGCCTCAACTTGTAGAAAGTAATATATTTCTCATTAGGGATCATTAGTAGTACCTGCACACTAAATAGCTTCTCTGCTTCTGTGCAGTGGATTCTTTGTATATGAATCACAATAGTACTAAAAAAGGATTTACCTCAAAATTTTCACATGTACATCTTGAAGATATGAAGTCTCACTAAGCCAAAAACAGCAGCCAAATAGCAACCCACAAGCTTGTACTAAGGCAGAAATTATTCAACATGTTAATCTCAACATCAAGATAAATGCGGTGACTTGTTTTAGAGATGAAGTAAGTGTGCCTTGTTCCTTTCACCTGTGTGGTCAGTGTGGTTTATTTATGAATCTGAAAAAATTCTAGTCTCTTAGATCCAAATGCTCCTTGACCTGCAATGCTGATACTTAAAATGATAGATTGATGCTGAAAGTAAAGACTGTTCTTAAAAATTAACTTCTGTAGGCTTTTAGCAAATCCTGAGTATTAAAGATCTTCCTTTCTTCCTTCCTGCCCACCGCCATGTCCCTCAGTACAAATTGTGCAGGGATGTAGTAATGGTCTGTTTAAAAAAAAATTAAAAAATCTGAGAGGAGATTAAAGTCATTGTCAGGCTGCAACTGTGTGACAGTACATAAGGGTGTTCCATGACTCTAATGATCAAGGCTTTGGCCGTTCAATTGGAACTGCAAGTGTTCATTGCTATGATTTGCCCTTCACTATAAGCAAGTATTTACCTATTAAAAGGTTGCTAGTATGTCATGTCTGTGAAATAATTTTATAGACTATAGTTGAACTGTAATTAATTTTAATGACTAAGAAACATGAGGCTCACCACAGATCAGCAATCAGATCACAGACAGCTGCAAATTAACAATTATGAACTTTAGAAAAATAATTCAAAGAGGCTGCCTCTCCAAATGCATTTTATTCATTTGTTTTGACTGGTCCTGGTTAATTATTTAAAATTCTTCAGTGGTAGACGTACTTGGAAACATGTTGTGAAGTGTTAGAAAAAGGAGATCAAACTGCAGTATTTTACTGTTAAATCATAACTGAAAAGCAGGGTAAGATGACAGAATTTTTCAAAAGGAAGGGCTATCCCGTTTATAGATAAGTAATGTTTCATTTTGTGTCTTATCTTTATAAGTTCATAGTTTATGAAAGGCTGCAGCTGCATTATCCTGGATAATGAAGAGGTTTTACAGTGTCAGTGGTGATATTTTACTGATTTTGTTAAGAAATAAATAATATCCACAGCTAATCAAAAGAAGGATAAATCTTGTAAAATGATTTCAACAAATCCTTGGGCCTTTTTTGTGAACAGAACTCACTATATATTCAGAATATATACTCAGAAATACACTATATGATGATGCACTGCTTCTTGTGTTTGCAAAGCTCACTAGAGGTACAAATAATGGACAAGTAATAAAGGGTTTGAAAATTACTTAAAAAAATTTAGTGGAATCTCCTCAAAATTAACTGTTGTGATTATGCTTATATTATTTCTCTCTGTAGGCTCTTCCAGCAAATGCAGTTACAGTTTTTGTGTACTGCAGCTCAGTGACAGTGTTCTTCACTGTAATAAAGGTGATCAGTTATCGTCTGCACCTTATGTTTGATAAAGGCGAAGTAATTCAACAAAAGCTCTCAAGAAAAAATGGAACACAATGTAAAGATGCAGAGGTTCCAAAAGTTCAGCCCTCAAATCATAGGTAAGGTTTTCTTTGCACTTTGCTGGTATGTTCTGTGAAATAATGAGTTTGCACCATGATCCTATACAGCAGAAATGCCTGTTGACTGCAGGAAAAGTCCTTAGAGTTCTGTGAGGAACAGCACTTTAAAAAACCTGGTTACTGCTATTATTTTTGGTGGCTGCAGCATGCTTGAGGTGAAGCAGGCAGAGCTACACCTGATGCAGAGGGTGAAGCCACAGCTGGGCACAATGAAGGCAGAAGAAGGCAGTAGGAAGACCTGTCTGGGAGGTGCTAAAAGATCCCATAGAAAATCTGGGTGGAGTTCACTGGGGAAGCTTGCTTTTCCTCTTCCTGCTATATTTACCTGCTGAGATGGGGAGAGGAAGTGGCACGTATCTATTGGCAAAGAAAATGCTTTAATATCACAGCTTTGAAAGCCTGAGTTATGTTGCCTTTATGTGCTTTTAGTAACTTTCCTCTCAGATCAGACATAGATGCCTGAATTGCTTTTCCCCCTTATGTTTTATTGTGACTTCCTGTGATGCTTCTGTTCATGAGGAAAGCTAGAATTGCTTTTATTTCTCTGGACCATTTGGTAAGTATTTGCAGCCTCTCTGCTGAGGAGTCAAGTGCTATGTCTTTGCTGTAAATAAACAGTAAAATCTGATAAGGCCACTTCCAGATTGAGATGGTATTAAAGGTAAAAATAGTACTCGGCTAAGGATTAGTACTGACACTTTGCATATTGGTGTATAAGTAGAGTATTCCACTGTACACTTTTTAGAATAAATGGGACCTCTTTTGCTGTTTTTTCAAGCTTGAGTCATGCAAACAAATGAAGCTGGCAAGCTGCTTCCCAGGCATTATGAAAGTGTGACAAGTGCTGAAATAAGGTACACCAATAGTGATGGCAGCTTAGCAGTTTCCAAACAAAGCTTCAACTGAATAGATTTGTTAGGACTACCAGCCAGGCTTCAGCAGAGCTCTGGATAAAATAACTGGCTTTGGATATTTTTTGGTGCATTTGCAGTCACTACTGCTAGCTCTGGGCGAGCTAAATGCATCAAGATTGATTGTTTACCACCATGCTATTGCTCTTCTGTGTCTTTACACATGCACACCTGTGCTACCCTCCTGGCAGTGATGTTGCTGGATGTGTTAAGGTCTGCCCACATTGAGAGTCCTCTGAGAAATGCCTCTTCTGTGTGTCACGAACCATACAAGGTTTTAATTTTAGATTGGATTGTGCCCTTCAGGCTCTATTCCTCTTTAGTGCTCATCAGCCCACAAAGCTATTTCCTACTTACAGATCTCTGATACAGTTATTCAAGAGGCTCATCAGTTGTTCTCAGCTGGCTCAACTTTAAAGAGAATCTCAGTGTTTTCCTGTTCACTGGCTAATGAAATGAATGTGAAATTTCATTATCCTGCCTTTGTTTTGGCTAAGAAGTACAGGTAGACTCAGTTAAAACTTGTGTGTTAAATCACACAACTATTCCTCCTAGGAGGTCCTAGGCGCAACAGTCCATTAATTAATAACTTGATCAGAAAATGAAAAAATAGTATTTTGACTAGATGCGTGACTTCCAATGTGCTGCTCTCGTTGTTGGCACGTTGGTATAACAAGTTTTTGAAGTCAGATAACCACCAAAAAATTGTGGAAAGGTGACTGAGACCCATAGGTAAAAAAAACCCCTGAAGCATATATACACCTGTAGGATTTGAAAAATGTTTGGGTTTTTTTCTGGAAAAAAAACCAACCAACCTTACAACCAAACAAAAAAGCCTAAACCCATACTTTTTGATATATCATCATAGCATTGATTTTATTTTCAACTGAATTTTTATTGTGTTACCCCTGTGGAAGAGAACATATGTTGGTTCTCATTAGTCAGTCTTGGCCAAAAATACTGCTTATATCCATGGAAAGGCTAGTGGAAAGTATTTGTAAGAAGAATTAGCAGATAGTTGAGTGCATCCGCAAAAGGAATGATCAACAAGTTACCTTAAAAAATACTAAATTAGTAATGGATATATGTTTGCCTTGGCTGAAAGCAGGAGAACAGCTTTATTTTGTGATCTAATTACTAATACACATTTCAAATTGTATTTCAAATTGTTGTTTGGTCAGAGGTTTTGTCAATAGGCAGTTAGATAAGCAAGGTGTACACAAGGGTACAGTCGAAGGACGTAAAAAGCAGAAATAGTGAAAGGGTCAGCATTTGACTGTTACATGTCTAATGAGAAGCCCCAAGTAGCCTTTTGTGCCAATAAATCCATGTGTGTGTCAGGCAGGCTAAATGGCACTGTATACACACAGGGAGTTTGAAGATACGTTGTATTTCTCATCGCAATGCTCTACTTCCTAAGACACCAGATACATTTTGTATTGAGAGCTTTTTATTTTTACTTTATTTTTAGCAAGTTGTCTTGGTGAGGAAGGAGGTGCAAAAGGGTTTATGGTATTTTTCAGCTCTGTGCTTTTAGCATTGGGGGGGGAAAAACATCCTCTCGCTTCATTGTGCTGTGCTGTCTTTTCCCTTTCCACTATTATTCCCCAGCCTCTTCCTAAAACTCATGGTCATCTTCTGTGGTAAGGAGCATTGCTTATTTTTCATTTGCTTCCTTTTCAGCAATAACACTGGGGATAATGGTGTAATTGCAGAGACCAACCAAAATGGCTCTACCCAAACCATTCATGACAGTTCAAGGGAACAGGCTCTGCACTTGCAGAACTCACCTGGAGCAATGGTTAGTATGTCGTTTTCTGTAATAGTGTCTTAACTTTGTGTAGTCCACAGCTTACCACATGGAGTTCTGTATTGCTAGATACACTTGATCACTTGAAGAGTAGGTCTGCTCTGAGGATGGAGGTTCATTCTGTGGACCTACTAGGTATACCAGGGCTGTCAGTCTTGTCCTAAGGGTCTGGGCTTTTAAAGCTGGAAGTGGTGTATAAATAATTCTGCACTTCTTAGGAGGGGTCACTCTGCTCTGTAGATACTAAATGGCCTTTGTAAATCTTGCCAAGAGCAACTAGTTTTCATGGCTGCTTTAAGGAAATGGAGAAACTAATGCAATCAGAGCAGCCTCTCATTGCCTCAGAAGGGATCTGCCCCTGGAGCATTAATAATGTGGTTTTGTGTAACTAGACTTATGCTTATAAAATGAACCCAGCACTTCTCTTAAGTATTTAAACAAAGCATAGAAACCATTATTTAAATCTAGGAGATCTCTATATGAGGTTAGAAAAAGTTACAGGTGCATTCCGTGCCATTGGCTATGCTTTCTAAATGAATAGTTTATGAAGTGGTAAAGGCAACGTATGTAGATGTTGTTAGTAAAGAAAAAATAGGAGACATACATAACAAGGTGGAAGAGTTAGGTGTTCAAAAATTAAGAAACAGAATGAACGCTGTCTGTGTAATCTTAAGCTACTCCCCATATATACTGTGATAAAATCTTTAATTATGTGATCCCGTGCTATTTTTTCTACAGGACTCCTGCCTCAGTCAGTGCAGAGGATGGTTAGTGATCTCTAAATAAGTAGCTATTTGATACTTCATTCTGTCTTCATATCCTCTCCCCCTCCCACCCTGTGTCTGTATTTACTGCAACCTGTTCAAATCCTGGTCTGAATCAGAACTATTTCCTCATTTCCTAGAGTGTTTTTACCTTTTTGTAGCATCTGTGTGATTCAGAAGCATTAATAGTTTTCTTTTATGAGGTAAAATGTTTTTCACCTTGTTTCTGTCCAACCTCCCCAATATTCTGATATTTGTCCAATTTGAACCACACTTATTCTTGGGATCTTGTCCATTTCTCCCATTTCCAAACATGTAGGTTGGGTCAGGTCAGACCTAATCTCCAGTTCCTGCTGCTAGAATACCACAATTAAATTTTAGGAGATAATGGTTTTGATGTCTGTCATCCAGAAAAAGTGACAGTTTTTCTCAATAGATTTTTTTCTAGTTATGCACTTAGGCTCTTGAATTTAGAGTCCCAGAGTATTCCTCTGGAGTATTGTGTTTGGTTCTGAGCTCCTGAAAGAGTTCCCACAGACATTCACCTGCAGATGAGAATCCAGCAGTGGTCACCAAGGTGACTGAGGAAGGAGGCACACGGTATATGAGGCCAGGCAGATAGGATGTTTTAGCATTTGTAAGGCTAAAACCTCTTGTAAGACTACAAGAAGAACTTGCTACTGTCTTCAGCTTCCTGATGGAAAGACATGGAAAAGATTGAGCACACCGTTTTCTGAGGCCCCGGATAAGGGACAGTGGCTGCAACTTGTGGCCATGGAAAACTACAGTTAGGTCTATTAGGTTTAAAGTTTTATGTGGTGTTTTTTTGTTGGTTGGTTCCCCCTGACACCTCCACCAAGAGGGTGGTCAAATACTGCAAGAGTTGTCCAGAGAGGCTGTGAAATCTCCATCTTCGGAGATCTTCAAAGCCCTGCTAGAGATGTCCCTGAGCAACCTGCTCTAACCTGCTTTGAGTGTGTGTGTGTGTATGGTGGAGGGGATTTGGACTAAATGACCTCCAAAGTTTCCTTGTGATCTAAATGACTCTATGACAATTTAGTGGCTCTGTTCTTTAGTTTTCCATTGAGAAAATGTTACCAAGTACTGGAGACCAAACTTTTCATTTTAGTGCTTTGGGAAAATGTAGCTGGAAAAGTGGAACATATTAATGCATTCTATTCCTTAATAATTAAAAAATCCCAAACCAAACTAATCTGAATTAGGCACTGCAAAATGCTTTTTTTAAAAAAACTTCATTTTTTTTCCCTTTGCCAAACATCACACACAATTATAGTGATGCAATTTGAAGCATGACTGTTCTAGAATCATCTCCCTCACCCACCCCTTGCATTTTGTGCAAGGTACATGTCCAGATATCAGTGATGTTAAGCAGTTTACCAGTGCTGTAATTGACCTTTGATTAGATGGCTATTGCATTGATAGAATATATTTTTTTTTCCAGTGAAGTTTAATGAATTCCTGTGCTAATTTTGTGTGTTTCTCTTTATTTTTAGGAGCTGCCATCACGGGAGACTATTGAAGATCTCAGAGGTATTTTAAAGGCTTTATAAACCCCTTTAGATCTTTGTTTAATCATTGGTTGCCACAAAAAAAAAAAAAAATGGTGCAGAGGAACCCATGGCATGTTCTGTTGTGCCTCATGGTAGCAACTCAATAGAAAAACTCAAGAGAGCAAAGTATCAAGGGAATTTTAACAGAGTAACAGAGTATAGAAAAACTCAAGAGAGCAAAGTATCAAGGGTATTTTAACAGAGTAAGCTTTCTCATGTGTTACCCAAGCTGTTCAGGATGCAGCTTTTTGGTGAACATGCAAGTCTTCCTACCCATTGCGACATGAGGAGATGAAAGAGCCTTCTCCCCACATTCTTGGGAAATCTGTATCTCCGGAAATCATTAAGCTAGGAAGCTAATTTGCATACTGCATCTTAGAGCACTTAAATGTCTTCTGACCATACACTGCTGTTGATACTGTTGACCTTTTCTCAATAGTGTATACTCCAGCGTGCCTTGCATAGCCTACAGGTTCAGTGCATGTGATGTCTCTATATTTTAGGTTTTTTTGTTAATGTTGATCAGCATATCCTATGGGGCTATTTAGGAACTGCACAAAGCGATGTAACGAACTTGTGTCACACTGGCTTGTTCTTTCTTTCATCTCTCCCTATGTGGGGATAATTCTGTAAAACATTTTAGTTTTGATAATAGCTATTTCATGCTGCTACACCCATCCTGTCCTGGAAAGATTCCAGCTTGCTTTTGTAGTATTTCACATGTAGCTAACTAAAAAAATCCTTGCTTAGTAACTGTTTTAATCAGCATATAATCCATGCTTCATTTGCTCTGCTCTGAATCAGATTTTGGTAGCTAAAGATCATACTTAATAATGCATTGTGTTCATGTTTGTGGCACCTAACTCCCATATGTTTTTTTATTAGGTGTTATGGTATTAGAAGAGCAGGCTACACCACCAGTTTCATCTACCTCACCCTGTATCAAAACAGATATATTACCTATTTCTACAGCTTCTGCTTCAGGTGGCACCACATCAGCAATAGTGGCAAAACCAGCCACTATGGAAACACTTTCTGGTAATGGAATAAATGAAAAAGGAGGGACTGGACAGTCATACGGACAGAATGGATCCCAAGATATTCTTGTGGACAGAAATGTAGCTAAAAATTTCTCCAATGTTTCTTCATCACAAGGTGATATTTTAAGGACTGGAATTTCTTCAGAGCCATGGGACAGTGAAAATTCAGTTATTTCAGACCATTTGAGTAATCCTAAAAGCTACAAAAGAGAGAAGTTGCCAGATGGATCACCACAGACAGGCTTTACCAGTAGCTGCCCACAGTGCAGTGCCATTGCCACCAAAGATCCTGAGCACCTGGAAAGTCCTTGCAATGGTGGTAATACCCAGGAGGACTTTGACTGCTCAGACAGTGAGACTGCTGTTGCAGTTGTGGACAACTCTGTTCCTGGAGACCAGCTATGTGAGCCCATTAAAATTGTCATCACAATGAGTACTACACCAAACACCACCCTCAGTGACCTAGCGAGCTCTGTCCACCTGAAGGCCTTGGGAACTGAGAGAACGAGCTCAGCCCTTGAGTCTGGTATAGTGACAGCAGATTGGCCAAGTCAGCAAACTAACGAACAGCTTAGAATCCCTGTTATCACTTTTGACCTGTCTGATGACAATAAAGGTAAGGCTAGTCCAGAAGTTAGTGAAAACGAAAGGAGTCCAGACATTTTCAGGGCCGAGTTGTCATCCAACCAATGCTCTGGCTATGAATCGGGTGATGCAGCAAAGGATCACAGCAACCCAGCAAATACTCCTTTAGAAACTAACACTTGTTCGGATCCAAATTGTGAGAATGCTTCTGAAAATGTCCAGACCGTGGATTTAACTTCTAAGGAAGACCTCCAGAACTTAGACCCACAGTCTTGTAGAACTGCTTATGAAAAGAGGCATATGCGAGTGCTGAGTGTAGACAGTGGGACAGATGTGCTTTTAAGTAAGAATTTCATGGAGATATCTGACAAAGAAAAGACCTTACCGACTTCTAAATCAGATCTGGAAGCTAAAGAAGGGCAGGTACCTAATGAATCTAACTTTTTAGAGTTTGTATCCCTCCTGGAATCCATTAATACTTCAAAGATGAAGGCATCAAATCAACCCACTGTCAAAACAGAGACTACAAAGGAAAATGGGCTTGTTGGAGGTATGATGCATGGCTTACGACTCTTCTGTAATGAAGAAGTGACAAGTTACATTATAGCAGCTTATCCTGAGACCTGCAGCAGGACAAATTCCCAGAGAACTCCTTTTGCTAATAGCGCCAGGGAAGGACTGGGCTTGGTGGGACAAGGTGATTCAGTCAAAGTGATAGTGTCAGCTGTAGTTCTTTGAATATTTTAATTTTCTTAAGGATTTTCCTTTGAAAAAGCTAAGGCTAACATCATTAGGTGTCTGGTATGTATCTAGTATTCTGTACTAGAATAGCATGCATGTGTCAGGCCTGTATTGTTGAAATACCAAAAATATCTCAAAAATGTGCATAGCTATAACATTACTCCTGCCGTTGCCCATCTTACCAGATTCACGTTGAGGTGTCCTCTGTGTGTGCTCATAAGTATGCAGAAAGCTGGAATTATCCCTGGTGATGATTCAAAGCTAGCACCTGTGTCCACACACATGCATCTTCCTAAACTTCTGCACAGTTGTGGTGTTTTAAAAACAAATGTGAAATTAGTACTTTTACCTTGTTAGAAAACATTAGGTAGATTTATCTTTTCCGTTTGGTGTTCTTGTGTAGATTCCATTTACCTTTCAGATGCCATTCTGCCTTTCCCAAGTCTTTCCTCTTATATGTCCTATCCAATGCATTAGACCCATACCTCATTCCATCCTTCACTTGTGTCCATTTTTTCTTCCGTTTTATATTTCTAGTTCTGTGCCTTCCCTTCCCCATTCATCTTCTTAGCTTAGCTACTCCCCTTTTGTGCAACCTCCTTATTAGCCGTCCTCTTCATAGTGCTTCTCTCTCATCTTTCCCTCTGATCTTCCTAGCAATCCACACTGTTGCTTTTCTAGTCTTTTTCCACTCTCTGGAGCTCACTTGAAGCCATTTCCTCCCCATAGGTTGCATTCACTTCTCCTTTACTGCTCCTCCTCTCCATTCCCTAGTCAAATTTTGCTCCTTCTTTTGCCTCTGTTCTGGTCTATTGTTACCCATCTCTCCTGGCTTCTCAGATAGCTCTGCAGAGCACTTTCTGCTGTGCTCTATTAAGTTTATCAGCCTGCCTGGCTGGCTCTAGCAAAGCCAGTGTTGCAGCAAGCAGACTGCTTTTGCTACTCCTCAACCATAAAGAGGAGTATTTACATGATAATTTGACTCGTGTGTGGTATGAGTTGGCTGGAAAAGAGAAATTATAAGAATTTTAGAGGTAAGTTTAAATTAAGAAAAAAAAGAGTGCAGCTAATCCATGAAGGGGTTTCAGACAGTTGCCCACAGATGGTAGGAATGGGCAAGATTGCTTGCATAAGGCAAAGCTATGAGTGATTGGAAAAGTCACACTCATAGATTTCACAGTGAAGGGAAAAAAAACCAAACCCAAACCCCAAGCCCAAAACTTTATTAATTCGTGTATAGTTTAGAACAGCTTTAGACCTGACAAATGAGATTGTTCCTATTGGAATCCAAGATCATGAGGCAACAGGAGGATTCTGCTCTTCTTTCAAACCAAGCTGTTACTTAAAGCAACCTGAACTAAATTTCCTACTTTTCTGTTGTCTAAAGTCCACATGTTTGTGAGATGGTGAAGTTGAGCTGCATACATAGACTCATAGGATCATAGAATGGTTTGAGTTGGAAGAGACCTTAAAGATCATCCAGTTCCAACCCCCATCATGGGCACAGACACCTCCCACTAGACCAGGTTGCTTGAAGCCCCATCCAGCCTGGCCTTGAACATTTCCATGGAGGGATCATCCACTGTTTCTCTGAGTATTCTGTTCCAGTGTATCACCAGCTTCACAGTAAATAATTTCTTTCTAATATCCAATCAAATCTACCCTCTTTCAGTTTGAAACCATTCTCCCTAGTACTATCACTACAAGCCCTAGTGAAAAGTCCCTCTCCAGCTTTCCAGTAGGCCTCCCCTTTAGTGGCCCTTCTTGTTTCTGGGATGGGCCCAGCAAGTGTCACCCTGGGAGAAGAGCAGGGTAGAGATGAGGAGTGCCCTGGTAGAATAGGGATGGTAGTTGTGGTTTCTGTCTTCTGCACCTCTGACTGGTGCTGTGGGAAGAAGGAGATTCAATCTGAACTCTTTAAGCTAGGGAGAAGTAGTTCAAAGGCAGTTATTTTTAAGAGCAAGTAGGCTTTGTTTTTAGCCTAGTCAGAACGTGCTGTTTGCTAAAATAAATTACTGTCATTACTGGCAGCTTCCCCGCAGTAAGACTTGATTTTAGAATGAGAAAGCTTCTAATTTGTTTATAGCCTTGCAATTACAAATATGCTTTAACAAAATAACATCATAGAACAGATCTGAATAAACATTCTTCCCACATTAAAGTGGTTGCACAAAATAAAAAAGTGTGTGTGTGGAATATAGAGCAAGTCAAGCTATGCACCACTTGTTTTGAGGGAGGAGGTGGGTTGTGTTTGTTTTTTGTTCTTTTAATCTCAAAAACCACCTAATTGTCAAAAGTGAATAATAGATGCCTGATCCAAATGAGTGTGAAATGCACCCCACAAAGGTGTTTATTAGGCAGTATGAGAAACTTGGCAAATTCCTGGAAAGCTGGGTATTCAGAGCTGTGTGTTAAGAAAGCTGACGCTCTGCATAATTCTGAGAAGGCAGTGAAATGTGCTCATCAGAACAGTCTTGAAAGTGAGGAAGTGTCATGGATGGGTCTTTCTTACAGGTATTCCCTCACAGAACATTTCAGTTCTGTGGAAACAGAAGAGATATCATCCTGACCATGTAAGCCTTTGCCAGTAGACAGCTCAGTAAAATGCAGCACAAGAAAATTAAAGCCTTGCTTTATGCTACCAAGGATGCCAGATTTAATGTGTTAAAATACAGGACATAAAAAGTCTGTCTAAGGGATGTTCTGTTACCACCCCACCTCTTCTGGATCATGTGAAGGTACCACTGACACTGTTGCTAAAAATTACTTTCAGGTCAGTGTCCTTTCAGTTTTCAATCAAACTTGCACCACCCACATAATGAAAGCCTGTCGAAGGACAACTGCAAATTTTCTTCAGTCTTTGAGAAGCATGGGGAGAGCTGGGGTTATTGGCTGCTGACATGTCTGGAGCTGAGTAAGAGCAGCTGTGCATCACACTTAGGCAGGGTAAAAACTCTTGTATGTCCCCTCTGGCACAGCTGGCTTGCAATCTAGGACAGGCCATGTTATCACTCAGGGAGCAAAGCTGCTGTGGGAGTGGTGGATACTGGTGCAGGAGAACATGAACCAGGACTGCATGGCCTGAATTTAGATGTTTTGCAGGCTCTTTTTAGAAAAGGTACTCATCATTCTGGGCAGTGCACAAACCACAGCCTTGAGTGAGTTCTTCGGGATCTGAAGCAATTGCCCTTCTGCTATAAAAACCTGAGACGTACTCCTGTGGGTATTTTTAGACTCATCATTTTTTTCCCTTGCATGTGAGAAAGAGGGATATTGCCTGCCATATAATCATAGGGAAGAGGGATCTTGTTGTTTTAGAGGTCTCTATTCTGACATAATTTTTAGGGATAATGTTTAGATTACTTACCTGAGGCCTCAAAATACTTGATTTTATTCCCATCTCTACAGCTGGCCTAGAAGATTGTTTTCAGCAAGTCATGTCTGTGCTTAAGTCTCCCTGTTCTGTAACAGGTACAGTGAGTACTGCTAGATTTTCCTTTGGTTTCAGGATTAATGTGGCAATTCTGATTAATGGATAAACTCATGTGCTTCTTCAGTGCCCATGTCAAACTTTTATAGCAATTCTTGGGACTGTGTCAGATTTCCTGGGCTCTCCTGTAGTTTGGTGAGTGATCAGCTTTAATGTCAGATTTTTCTTTTAATGTATTTATGCCTTAACATGCAAATTTGGGTTAAGAATAAAGTACATAAACTAGATGATTCTACTAAAGCAATCAGTGAAGAAAAGGCTGGGATGTCCTTTTGGATATATTCTGCAGATATATGAATAGGACAGTTCACAGCTTGTAGAGCTCTTTTTTCATGCTGGTACTAACAAGAGGATAGAGAGGTGTCAAATAAATTGTCTCTGTGGCCCTACAGGCAACAAGTGTATTTTAAAGTGAAACTTTCTATTTTGGAGCACATTATTATGGAAGTAAGTAGATTTTGTGGCAGAGCAATTAATGAACAGTAGACTCTCAGCTTAATTAGCTTAATTCTGCTTGACCAGATTTCCAACCAGATGGCATCTGAAATTATGATGACAGTGGCATGTTAACTTCCAGGAGTGAGTTGTGGAGACTGGGGAAGGGATATACAAGTAAAAGATGAGGAAAAGCACCCGGGAGACTTTAGTTAGCAGGTTAACTAAAGGGGTGTATCTTGTGCTCAACCAAAATACAAAAATGGTGTCCCGACCAAAAGTTGGTTGTTTTTACAGGACTTCTCTTAATGGCCCTTCCTCAAGCATGATTTAGCCATGAATCCTGAGCCTCATATATGAGTCATGTGGCATATAATTTCTAGATTAATTACAAAGTTACTTGCAGTTCCTGGGTCTGAGTTTGTGAGCCCGGCTGTGTGCATGCCAGGGACATGTGTCTTGGGATAAATGGCTATGGTAGGAGGCCACAAGGAGGGTGCAGGTACACTGCCATGGTTGTGCTTTTTACACTTCTCTTGCTCTTGGAATGATATTTTCCTGGTAACTTGAGCTTTGGTAGCACAATTTCCATATGGGGAGTGTTTGGTGATGTAGAGCCAATTACATACTCTGGCAAGAGCACTCCTCGTCTAGACACCTCTATCTCTGTTTAACTACTGAAGGTGTAAGTCACTTGGAACAAAATGAGTAATAATCATGAAAAGCGGTCACAAATCTACCATGGCCCACCTTTCCAGTGCTGGAAGTATTCATCAGCATGGTATTGTCTGATTAGCATATAAAGCCTGTAAAAAGCAGTACCTTTATGTTTTTATTGTTATGACTCTTTACCACTGCAGGGAAAAGAAGTTTGCAAGGCTTGTGGTTTGGAATGGGAAAGAGAAGCATTTTCTAAAACCACTAGATAATCAAATTTAAAAAGTCTTTCTAATTGTTCCAGCCCTAGAGCTAGTTTTGGGCAATATAGGACAAATTAGATTATTAAAACCACAGTTTCCGATCTCTATCAATTATTCTTAAAGCTTGAACAGCCCAAGCCTTTAGGAGGGTGATTTTGATTAGGTGTCTGTAGCTCCACCTCCCTCAGGTAAAGCTACATCATTAAGGGGATGCTTCAGTAATGCCACCGTCAAATAAAGCACAGTTTCTGCTAAAATGTAGTTTAAGTCTTTAATTAGGAAAGGAAAAAAGTGTTGTCTGCTTCCCTCTCCACTTTTTTATTTCCTAAATAGAAGAAAGTAGGTCTGGAAGACCTGTTGAATTATTTTCTCCTTGCACAACAGATAGAAAAGATTTCCCTAAATCAAACTTATGCTCATTGTATTAATTGCATAAGACATCAGGAGTCTTGGTGGTTGTGTGCTACAGAAGGAGAGCAGGAGACTCAGAACATTGGCAGGGTGGTAGTGAGATTCTTTTTATTTCTCCCCTGTGGAAGCTGAAGGAACGCTGCTGTTCCAAGCAAGAATTACACAGTGTCTTTATCTCTGCTGCCCTCTTCCCTTGCTTTTGGTACCCTGGCTGATGAGTGTCTGAGGCCCCAGGGAGACTCCTTAGGCTCAGTGCTGCTCGTTGTGCTTCCTGTTAATGGCTGAGACCTGCTGGGAGAAGATGTGGTAGTACTATTAAAGTTGTTCTTACACTTCTGGATCCCCCCTCATCCCCTCCCAAAAAGTAAGTGTGAAGTGTCTTGCAGTGAGAAATAGTTTTGTGTGAGTGTCTGAGGCTTTAGGGTATTAGAGGGGTGTGTCCTGTGAACTGGAGCTGGTGCAGAGATGTCTTAACTCCTGAAGGTATGTTTGTTTGTAGAAGTAGTGTGTTATTAGATCAGCTGATATGGTTGGAGGAAAACCAGAAAGATGATCGGAAAACTTTGCATGTCCAAAAGCTTGTTTATTTTTTAAAATGTTATCAGTTGGCCTAGTAAAAGATACTATGTCTCTCTACAAGCCTTGAATCTACTTTATTCTTAGACCATCTTAGTGATGACACCACTGCTTCTTGACTGGTGCCTCCTGCAGGTTAGGATGGTGATTGTGTTGGTAGGAAATATGGTTTAACAACTGGATTTTGGGGAGGGGAATTTCTGTAGTTTTTTCTTGATGATGAAATTTCTAAGGCATTTAAACAGCAGGTGTTGCAAGAAGTCTGGCTAAGTATACTTCAATACACTTTGCTTAGTGCAATAAGCTGCAGGACTCACTGAAGCATCTCCAACAACAACCACAACCCCCCCACCCTTTCTTCTTCTTTTTTTTTTTTTTTTTTTTTTTTTTTTTTTTTTTTTTTTTTTTTTTTTTTTTTTTTTTTTTTTTTTTTTTTTTTTTTTTAAATGAAAGCATTTAATTGTGTAACTGATGGTGGTGAGGAAATCACTGTCTTAGTTGCACTTTAAAATCCTAACATATTATTTTTTTGTTTTCTGACAAAGCACAGTTGCAAAATGTTCCACTATGCAACATTAATGTTAGTAACTAAAAGAAACTATTGCTTTGTACATATGTATAAGTAAGTTACATACATTTGTAGAGAGATAACACAAATGTAATTGGTATTCAAAGTAGGTGAATCATGTATATTTTGAAATCTACAGTGTTGTATTTTCCAAGCATAGGAAAATCTACTGTGAAATTGTTTACCCAGTTTTCTTCTTTGTCCTGCATCAGGTGTGTGGCCACTGGGGAAAAGGGATTAGGCAGCTCCCTTCTTTCCTGCTGTGGAGCTCTATTTCCTTTGAAGATGCTGCTTTCCCTTTTGTAAAAGGGGAATGGGCCAGTGCTTCTGCTTTTCTGCTGCCAGTATACAGAGCTTGGGAACAAATTATGACCCCCAGAGAAGCAGCCTCTTACCATTCTAGGTTAGGGACAGATTGCTTCCTTCTGAAACAAAAGGAGTAGCAAAGCAGAAATTCTCTCTCGTTTGTCCTTTACTTCACACAGCCTGTTCTTGGAACAACCCATTCATGTAACCTCCTCAAGTCAGAGTACCTCCTCATCCAGATTTCTGTGATTGTATTGTTTTAAGTAATTTTAATGTTCTCGACAAAACTAGTAATTGCTAAATTGTTTTAGTTTGCTTCCTTGTAGATGCTCTTGTTCAGTTGTTAATAAACAAAACTCTTGACAGTCATCTGCAGAGAGTGGCTCCACTTCACTGCCCTGTTTTCCAGATAGCCAGATGGTGGAGAGAAAAGAAGAAACGGTGGGAACAGAAAAGCACTGTGAGCAACCTCCTAAACAGGAAAGATCAGATGTACAAAGCCAAGATCGTGCTAGTACTAGTCCGGTGCTACCAGAGTCTGCCAAATTTGCAGCACTGTAAGGCCAGTTTACTTTACAATTTTGTACTTCAAAGATATGATGTAAGCTGTTTTGTTTCACTGAGTAGAAATGACATAAACTTTCAATTAACCTCTCTTTCTTTCTGTTTTATTGAGAACAAGAAAAAAGTTCCTCATAGTAGTTTTGAAACATTTTTGTGTCAAGTTACCAGGGCAACAGGCAAAGGCAGATAATCTACCGGGTAACTTCTCAGCAAGACAGCTCTGTCTTGCAAGTAATAAGTGGACCTGAGGCGTCTGTGCAGGATGAGCTATCTGTGGATGCAATGCACGTGTTCATAGATGAAAATGGTGAGTTTCTGTACTTGGAACAATTACCATATGTGAGGAAATTTCTAAAGAAACTAGATGCCCTGGAAGGATGTTTCTCTTTTCTGTTACTATTTGCATGTTTTTCTCTGTGCATGAAAGAAAGGGGCTTAGTCATTTAGAGTCAGATCACCAATAACCAGAGTTTTCAAAATCCACCAGTGACTACCACACACCTGAGACTTCCACAGTTCATGAGGCTTATCTTCCAAGCATCATCATCAAAAAGAGTTGGCTAAGCTAGAAGACAACTTCTGTCTTTGCAGAAGAACCTCTGGCACTTTCTGCCTGGTGAGGAGTTTTGCAGTGGCCTGGCTGGGCAAAACATTCTTCCTTTTTACTGTTTTGTTCTTCAGCTGGCTCAGACTGAACTCACTTGGCTGATGTGGTGGTTGCTCTTGTTGGGAGTTTTGGTCTGCTACCCCATTCAAGTGAATTAATGAGTGACCTAGTCTTGCCCCATGCCTGTGCTTGGTATGCTGCTGCTCTGCAGCTATTCCCAGAGGCTGAAGCTGTAGTACAGTTAGTGGTGGTTTGCTGGATCTCTGTGTAGTTCCCTGCAAGGTACCGGCCCATACCTCTGAAGGGCAGCTGTCCCAAAAATCATGGTTCCCTTAAAACTACCTTCAAAACCGGTATGCAACGAGTGCTCATGGTAGTTGGGTTTGTGATACCAGAGATGCTTTTTTTTCTGCCAGCTCCTCCTAGCCCTGCTTGCAGCCCAGCAGCTCCTGCTGTGTTGTGGAGCTAAGAGCAGCAGCTGCCAGTAAAGCAGATGGCATGACCTCTGGATCAACGAGGAGTAATGACTGCTGCAAGGAGGGAGTAGCAGTGGCTGTGATTTTAGCAGCCTTTTTCCTGGTTTTGTACCTCCTGGTCTCACCTTAATGAACAGAAAGAAAAAAATCTGATTTCACATTTTACAGTTAACTTATTTTGATAGATGGGCTTTGCATTTACTTTACATACCTTTTAAATTTCACTCTAAGTTCTGTGTTTTGGTTTGTCTCAGGGTTTGTTTTTTTTTTTTAAATGTTCTTTTACTTCATGCAGTCTGAAATAAGGCTACTGCAGAGACTGAGAACTAGATTTATAAATGTTCCTGACTTAAAATATATTTTTAATCAACTTGTTGTGTAAAAAGAAATTACCATATCACTGAACAGATTATTTTTTTTTCTCTCACTGTTTTCTAAAGGGGAAATTAGATCCTGTTATTTAAAGGCTGGCTGTCAGAAGGAAGGAAATTTTCGACATCAGCTATCAAATTGTGATTGTATTTCAAATGCTCAGTAAGTAAGCCCTTATTTTTAGAGATGTTAAAAGTTGTCATTCCTAGAATCTATGAAACTGATAGTAGCTGTGAAAGGTGGATGTGAAGAAGAGTACTGGAGAATAAATGTGGTAACTTCTGGAGATGTCAAAGCATGTGTTTTTTGTTTTGTGCTAACTCAGTGACTGCTTTCTAAGAATATTGATAAGGAAGGTGAAAAAGAAAAGCAGAACTATCCAATGTGCTTTCATTACTTTGTGGGAATAGTAAAATCAAGTGTGGCAATTACAAATAAAATTCTAAATAAATAAAGTAACTGGGAAGCTATTCTCTCAATCTTTTCTTGCTTGCTTCCCATGCCTATTGGGTCCTTTTTAGACTTCTAGTTTTGTGTCTGTACCAGCCAGTGCTTTCGGTTGATTCTAGCAGCAGAGCATTTCACCTTGCATGAAGTCTCTAATGACAGTTTGCCACTCTGTAAAGGCATTGGAACAATTTTCTTTTTTCAAAGGTCTTGTTGGAGTGATCCATATAAATCCTGTATTTGTGACTGTGGTTTCCACACTCTCTTATGTGATGTGTTGTCTGCATATCTGTAAAAATAATTTTAACTACTCATGAGTATTTTTATTTTAAAAAATAATGTTTTTAATATTGTTAAACAGCATTTGGAAAAGTTGAGTGAGGGTGTGAGAAGGATCATTGTTAATAGCACGTATTATTTTTCAAGTGTTTGGCTGTCTGGAGACTTTGGAAAAGCTCAGAACCATGTTAAGAAGAATAGTGTCAGCATTTTAGATAGAATGCTATTATGAGAAACATGAGAATAATGCTCTTAAAAGTCAGTGGGTAGGAGATAAAAAATAATTATAATTTGAGTTAATTACAGTAGAAGTGTTCTGCTTGTCTTCAGCAAAATAAAAAAAAATCTAACCTGGTAGAAATCTGTTTTGACCTAAAACAAAGCATTTTACTTTGAGGCTATTTAATTCTTGCAACTCTCTTCATTTCACCTTGCACAAAATAGTTCTCTCCTCCCCCATCATGTAACTATGAAGTTGAATGTGTCCTAAATTCAGAAATAGTATACTGTCCCCTGATGTTTATCAGTTAATCTGTTTTTATCAAAAGAACCATCTTCCTCATATAAGAAGTCCTGCTTTTGTCTTTGCTAGATTCTTATGGGACATCTCTGTGTTCCTATACTGTATTAAGAGCTGTCTTGTGGTTTGCAGATGTTTAGAGGTATGAATTATTTTTAATGAGTCTGCTAAACATTCTTACCAAATGTTGAGGTTTGGGCCCAACATGACAACAAAGAACAGCCCCATGGCCACTCACTCAACTCCCACACATACACTGGGATGAGGAGGACAAAGCTTCTGGGTTGAGACAAAGGACAAGGAGGGATCTTCACCAATTAAGGTCCTGGGCAAAACAGACCCAACCTGGGGAAAAAATAATGATTTAATTTCACACCAATCAAACCAACACAGGACACAGACACACACAGAGCAGGGCTTGCATATGTTACCCCACCCCTCCCTTCTTCCCGGGCCCAAATCCCTTTGTTCCTGGTTTCTCTCCCTCCTTCCCCCCAGCGGCACAGGGGGACAGGGGATGGGGTTTAGAGTCAGTTCACAGGCTGGTGGTTCCTGCTGCTCCTTCCTCCTCAGGAAGAAGGATTCCTTACAGTCCTTCCCTGCTTCCCCACGGGGTCCCTCCTATGGGAGAGAGTCCTCCCCAAACTCCTCCTTCCTGAGTCCTTCCCACGAGTACTGGAGCTGCTCCAGCCTGGGCTTCCCACAGAGTCAGGGGCTGCTTCAGGAACAAACTCCCCTGGCACCGGGGTCTTCCCAAGCTATGTAATCAGAATGCACAGCCAGCAAATCCTCTGGCCACAAAATCCAAGTCCACTGGCCAAGTTCACCTCTCCTGGCACCTTCAGGGAATGTTCCACCATGTTCCTCCACGAGTGCAGGGGCACAGCTGCCATCTTGCCTTGGGCTGCAGGGAAATGTCTGCTTGGGCACCTTCTTCCCCTTCTTCCTCACCAACCACCAGCACTGCTCTCTCTGCCAGCACAGCTCTTCTGCCTTAAGTGCTTCTCTGCTCAGGTGTTATCCCAGTTCTTTCCTATGTTAATCACAGAGGTGCATCTATTGTCCCTCTACTGGCTTCTTCGCTGGTTTTGAGCAGGGGGAACTCAGGTTCTTACCGGAGCCAGTCCTGGGGCCCTTCCCCTGCTACCAAAAAACCCACCAAGCCCAACCAGAACACCAATGCAAGCTTATATATTCTTTGCAGCCATTTACATACATTTAGTTTGTAAAGATCAGAATGTTTGCCAGGAATTTCAGAGTACAGGAGCAGAACAAATCCGCAAAGACAAGTGGGAAGACAGAACACAAGAAATTTTGCAGTAATGCAGGAGTGTGAAGCAAAGTACAAAGAAGTTCACATGAAAAGCAAGGAAAGAGGACAAGGAAACATAAAATGTGCTCAAGTTGTTTTTTGCAAGGCCAGTTTGCGGTATACATATGCCAGAGAGATTAGTGAGAGCTGTTTTTCCATTGGGCAGTTCCTACCATCTGTGCAGATTGAAGGGTAGCATGGGAAGGGTTTTGTTTTTTCTTCAGGTGTTCACCATTAGGTAATTTAGTATTTAGACCACATGGAATACTTACAGCATACAGAAAACAGAGGGGCAAATCTGTTTTAGAGACAGTTCAGGAATGTGGTGTCTTTCCTTCTGCCTTTCCCCTTTTCTCACCTGCAGGCTTGCAGATCCCTTATGTGATCTTAGGTTAGTTTCTTATCCATGGTTAAAGATAAGCCAAACAATCATAGTGATTAACCAATGATCTTTTTATCACTGAAGAAAAAGCAAATAGAATAAAACAAAAGGGATAATAAATAATTGCTTCAGCTAGATTCTCTTGTCTGTCTGTGGAGATTTCTTGACAGACATTATTCCTTTGAGTGTGGGCCCCCCTCTGGAGATGTTCATTGTGCAAGTAGTTCATACCAACAGGAAATGCTGCTGCTATGAAAGGATATTAGAAAAGAGACATGTAAAGCACCTCTGAGATGTCCTTGGCTTAGCTTCCAGCCTATCAGACAGTTAACTAAGGAGACAGTGCAGAAACAACAGCTCTAGGCTTGATGTCTGAATCCATTAACAAGCCATCCAAGTTAGATTTTTATGAGGTCAAAGGATGCAGGAGAAAATTAATAACTGGACATAAAAGGTGGCATCTTCCTTGAATAGGAGGGATAGAGTTTTGATCTTGGGGAGCCCAGATTCCAGAATCTAGGATAAGCTGATGGAGCACATTAGATAGGTCTGCAGTAGATGTTTATAGGCTCTTAAAACTTCACTTATCATGCTTGCTTTGTAGTGTTAAGATTAAGCTGCTCCTAAATGGAAAATATCAAACTGAGTTGAGCCACTGCAGTATCTCTGTGGATACACATGGATCATGCCCAGATGTGCTCCTCTACAAGGAGAATTGACCCAGGCCAGGTGATAGCAAGAGGCCTCTTGCTTTGGAGATCTGTTGGGAGAAGCAGCAGATCAGAGGTGCTGGCATGCTAGGAGCACTTCTGGGTAACACTGGTGAAGGGGGAAGGAATTTTGACTGGGGAGGGTATGAGCTCTGGCTGGTTTGTCAAGATTAATGTAATTGCCTTATGAATTGGCCATAGTTAAATACCTGTAAAGTAAGTTACGTAAAACAAGAGAAGGTATTTAAATATTACTCAAAAGAAGCCATTAAAGAAGGCCTGGAAGCAGACTTAACATTTAACACTCTTAACTTCGAATTATAATGTATTATTTCTGTCTATTAAGTTCTACTATTGTCTGTTAACAGATTAGTTAACCAATAGTCACTTAATTTCTAAAATTATCCCTTAATTCTGCCAAATAAGAGAATTAGAATAGTTTCAGGTTGTTTCTATATTTGTGTCTCCTCAAATTTTCTCTTACTGGTCCAGCAGTCTGGCTTTTAAAATATTTAAAAATTCAAGTTAGCCAAGTTGTGTCCAAAGGAGGTTTTTTATGTTGTAATGATGACCAAAAAAAAAAGATAATTCGTTTTCCATCTTAACCCTCACTTTGGCAGGTGATTCTGGTTACTGAGTTCAAGTTATTTAAACATTGGCAGGTAGCTCCGCAACTCCCCAGTTGTTGTCCACCTAATTACTGTGACCCCACTTCTGCCTGTTATCTTGCCAGCAGCACCTCTTGCCAGCAGTCCCTGTGGAATGGGTTCCCTGTTGAGCTAATTGCCTCTAAGTTTGATGCTCCCATTACCTTGCCAACTTCACCTCTAGGTATAAACTGCTTTGTGACAGGCTTTGACAAGAGAAAGTGTAAACTGTATTCTCAGCTCATGGTTTATGTTAGAAACTAGATACAGAAAGACTATTTGCATCTATTTTGAAGTGAGAAATTGAAAGTAGCTTTCTCATCCTGAAAACCATTATTCTGACCCATTTGCATTAAATTCATTACCAGCCTTTGTCTCTTGCAGCAAATGCTTAATGTGCCTACACTGTGTGGTTTGTGCTTGTCTTCTGGAAAGACAGATAAGGATGAGGAAGTTAACATTTTTGTAAAACAGGTGCCTTGTATAAAAGTGTGTACTGCTTTTTTACATGGTTAGTGTGACTTCACTCGATAATAACTAGGTTTAATCTGTTAAAATTATTCCCATTAGATTGGTAATACAAAGTAAACCACCGAATCATTAACAGTAACACTTCCTTAAAAATATGAGATGAAAGAATGTACAAGTTAAAGAATTGTTAGCACTAAATAGCTGTTTTCTTGGGTCAGGAGAAAAAAGTTCAACTTAATAAATGTCTTAAAAATAAGGAGGTGTCAGTGACACACCTTTTCTATCTGGCACACTGTGACAGAAAGCAGACGTTCCCCAGGAATGTCTTAAATTACATTGAATGCCTCTTGTAATTAAACAACCGATTTTTGAGAAGTAGGCAAAAAAGGGAAAT